ATCTTTGTGCTCAATGGAAATCTACCAGACACCTTCAGAAGACAGGCCTCAATATAAATTCATAACCTTACTGGGCACTAAAACCCATGACCTAACCGAAGACAAACTTTATGGCTCATTATAATCTATCTGTGATCTCTTGTTAATCTCTCTACAGAGCACAAAAAGATTCCATCTTGAATGGTCTTGCTCTCCTACTAATCAGGTTATCCCTTCTGCTGCACTTTTGTCATCTTTAAGCTACTCCTAATTAGAAATGTAAAATTTCTGGAAATTTTGAAGCCATGGGGGAAAAAAACATTTTTTCAGGGGGGGTTTTTGTTTGTTTGTTTGTTTGTTTTTAGGAAAACACAAATTTTAGGAAAAATTGAAATGAATGCAATACTTATTTTCTTAGCACCCTTTGTAGATCTAAATTCACTTTGCTACTTTAAGAACATAAAATGTATTATTATGTACAACTTGGTTTGCTCATAAAATTATCATGTTTGGTACATTTAATAAATTTAAAATTATAGTTTATTCAGACAATAATCACAAATTTACTAATTGAATTTACTTTAAAATGCTTTTAATGTTGTTACAAATGGAGCTACAAGCTTCTGAATTCCGAAGAACCTAGCATCTCTTAGTTTTTGCCAGTTTGAGAAGTAGGCAAAAATTAGTTGAAAATAGAAAAAACCATCAACGTTATAGTAAAACAAAAAAGTTATTATGTATTTCAGACGTAGACTCTTCCACAGTGTCACACAGTTACAGAAAGCACTGATTTTTAGAAAAAGAGCTGAGAAAAAAAGGGGGGAAAACCAACTCAATTGGATGCAAATTTTGCTACATGAAACTTAGTCTAACTAGTCTCATTTTCTGAGCTATCACTATCAGCCGTTTCTGCTGCTTCTGATCCTTCGTTTTTATCATCTTCATGGACTTCTGAAAACTGAAAGTTTCCCTGGATTGAGACAAGCTTCTCTACTCTTTCACATGTTAGCTTATTTCTTGATTTGGTGCGAGTATTTCCAAACATAGACCAGTTTCTTTCACATGCTGCAGAAGATGAAGGAATCTGAAGCAGGCAGGAAGCAAGAGGAGTTAAAGGCTGTGTTATGCAAAGGTTTTGCCACCATGTTGCAGGAGGGATGTGCTTGGCAGAGTCCCAGACTGCATCCCTAGACCAAATACCTGAAGATGGTCTGTATTCTGCAACATTTGAAAGTACCTTTCCAACATCAAGTACTAAGTGTATTTCTCGTTTTATAATTTAGCCAAATGTAGTAGCAGTGCCATCATCACTAACATTTCTGCCTTTGAATCTTGGATCCAAGAGATCTGCAGAAGCATGAACTGATTGGCAACAAAATTCTTCCAATCTGCTAATAAAGTCTTTCATTTTTCTTTCTTCTGTACTTGTAAGTGGAGATGCACTTAGATTCTCAAAAACAGTTGATTTTATCTGGGCCATTTGGTAAGGAACGTCTGACAGAAGTGCACTGTCTGATTCAGCTGCAGTGATTGCTGAAGAAATTGGCTTTAGAAACTTCCAGGAGTTCTGAAGCAGAACCCAGTAGACATCCTCATCAAGTACAGAGTTCCTTACTCTTCTGGGTACTTTAAGATCCTCAGTTATTACTGTTTCTTTGTTTTTTAGTAAACTTTCAAATGAGATCACCACTCTACCCCATCTAGTTTTACTACAGAGTTTGAGTGTCACTATTTGATTCTTTGTATCCTTGTCTTCCTGCTCCTTAAAGACTGCACCTACAATATGAGTAGCTTTTACAACTTCTTTTGCTCTTCTATAGATCTTTTGCAGTGTGTCCAACTTGATGATACCATTAAGCAAGTTTAGCCCATGGGATACACATTCTATTGCAATAATATATGGATATTTATCCATTATGTTCTCCCATGCTGCTTTCATGTTACTTTGTCAGTCAGCAAAGCAAGTACTTCACCACTTCCAATCTTCTGTAGACCTTCACATATTTTACTACTGATACACTCTGCAGTATGGTTGCTCTCTTCTGCTTCAATGTTTCTGTAAAAAACTGGTTGAGGTGTCATTATCACGAAGTTTTGATTCCTTCTCCCTGCACATTTATCCATCTATCTGTAAGTACTACAAGAGACAGTGCTTCATTGACTTTACCTTGCACAGATTGCATTACATGTTCATATTCTGACTCTAAAAGAGGCTTGCTCAAAGAATGCCTGCTGGGTAAATGGTATTATGGTCTTAGTAATTTAAAAGTTTCCTGTCAGCATGCATTTTCAGTTATTGACAATGGCATCACAGAAGATTATATTGCTCTTGCAAGACCTTGGTCAATTTTTTCCTGATCATCAGCTGTCATCTCATCTGCAAATGAAGCTATTGAGAGTCTTTTGCATACAGTTGGTTCCAATATTTGGTTACTTGAGGATGTTGATTGGGCAACCCTTTAGGATGCTAATGTTATAGCAGCAGCAGCAGCAAGCAGAGGACTTCTGGATCGAGAAGGTTGGCAAAAATACTTGCACTTCTGTCATTATGATCTACCTCCTCCTCACTTACACCCATGACGGATTTTTTAATGCCTGCAGGACACTTCTTACATACAAGGATGTATTTGGTCATCCTAGTTGCATTTGGAAATGAATATTTCATTTGACACTATTTGCAAATCGCATTTTTTTTCCTCAGAATAACTTGCAGTGTGGAAATGCTTCCATATGCTGGAAGTTGGTCGCACCATTTTGCTGAAGGGGAAGAAAGCAAAACGTAATTTAATGGTTAGACGGCATATATAAACACTAAGCTACACCAAGTACACATTTAGTAATGGATAGAGAAGAAGCCTCCTCAGTTAACTGTGAACTTCCTTCACTGCTAAGGTTGGATCATTTGTCACAAAACATCAGATTAGTAGGAATTCAATTATGAATTACACAGGTTATGAAAAATACTAATGCAGTTCAAATATACTGAATTCAGAGAAATTTAAATGCTTACCTTTCAATAAAGAAGTATACTTTCTCTCAGCTCCTTTGTGCTGCTTCTGTACTTCTGTGGGTCTCAAGGTCACAGGGCAATGAGACAGCAGGTTCCTTCCAACTCCAAAATCTTTAGACTTGCTCTGTCTCCTCTCCTGAGGCAAAAAGCTCCTTGTTTCTAATCTCTACAGGAATGAATGGATGCTGCTGCCAGTGTCCACTCCCAGTCCTTTGAGGCCTAGTCAGGAGGACAGGAGCAGATCCACCAACCTCTAGATCAAAAGTGAACAATGGACCAAGTCCACAAGCAAAGGCACTGAATCCTTCTTCCTTCTCTTGTGAAAATGGCAGTGCCCACTGGGGACAGAAATGCATCTTGCTCTTGCATTTGAGAGTTGTACTGTTCTGCTTGTCCTCAGCGTACAGGAATTGTAATGATCTGATACTGTAGACAGTCTTACATAAAAGTCTTTCTATTACATCGTTATTAGAAAACATTTTGGGGGAGTAAAGGGTAGCAATATATGAACACCTTGTCTTAAACATACTATTTGTCATTTTAAAAGAAAATATTTCGTAAGAGCTTTTTTTAGTTTTTCCAAAAATTTGCAATTTTTCCAATGTCTCA